GGTGACAGAAAAGGAAACACTGACCTAAAAACATTCTACGTGGGACATGTCACTCATTGACGAAGACCAGGGGTTGAGGATTCGAGGGACAGAGGCACATTTAGACCAGTCATCGTCATTCAGGGCAACGTGACAAAAGACGATAATTTGCAGCCATTATAGTTAAAGCACAACCTTCCCTACCGGATGGCCTGAGGGACATTGAAGTTGGGAGCTCCTTGAGAAGGAGCCTCTTCCTCCCTGTCTTCCTCCTCTTCCTCCTCATGCCCCTCTTCATCATGCTTCTGTACCCCCAACTCATCCTGAAACTGTTAGGGGGAAGGGATATCAAGACAGTAAGGTGTTTACGTACGCATGATCATCGGAGATGGGATATGGTGACTGAACCAATTCGCAGGTTTCTCGATCTCCGCAGGTTGCATCCTCACCGTTTCAAACAGCTCCTCCATCAGCTCATTGACCTCCTTTTCTGTAGGAGATAAAAGCCCATTTTACTGCCCTGACATGAGATACTCAGAACCGATTCCTGGTCCAAATGAAAGGTGGAGGCGTCTCGCCAAAACCCCGAGGTCCAGTAACGCGAGGAACCCACTGGTTATGCGGACTGCACGGTCGTTGCGGTAGTCCTCCAGGTCCGGCTCATCAATGTCTTCCAGGAAGTTGTACTCCGGGTCATCGTCGTCATCACCCTCTTCTGAAAACAAGAGTGTGAGAAAGAGGAGAGATGGACACAGGTGTCTTTGTAGCATACGGTGCCCATTATACAAACACATCAAACACAAGCTCCATCAAACACTAGCTTAAAGTCATTGAACGTCCTGGTGTGACCACACTGCAGTGAAATGTTCACCCTCTGTGAGAGGAACAATATACTACAGGGTTAAGGCTGAGGGGTACACAGTTAGTTGAGGATAACAGGGGCATTAACGCAGAACAGCTTCTCTAGTGCATCCATCGCACGGACGGGTCATTAACAGCTAATTGCCTTCGGTACAGTGTATTTTGAGTCACTGGGCTGTGGGGGGGGGGCTGCACAGAAGAGAGATAACAGCTACGGAAACACAGCCGATGGACTGAGCAAAAACCTGGGAAAGGTCAGGGACCGGGTGAAAAACACGACAGAGCAAACAGACGGGGGCTCCTTAAGTGAGGTGACGTGCGCGAGGTAAACACACAAGACGACCTCCCACGTCGTCTCCCCGGCAGGGAGGCTAGAGGGGCCGAATCGGTCAACGGAAAGCAGGTCCTGACGCCACGCAGTCTGCTGGGCTAAAATACGCGCACCCCCCCTGAGTACCTCTGCCCGAGATGGACCCGCTCTGGATATTACATCTTTTACATTTACTTTGCGGACGTTTTTTGGGAGTTTGGCTTTGCTCAAGGGTCCAAAGGTGAAATCACTCTGCCCGCCCTGGGATTCGAACCAGCGACCTTCTGATCACAGGCGTAGAGGGCCCTCTTAAAGCTCTACACCTCCCTTCCTGCTGCTTCACCCCTCCTCCCCATGTCTGTGCTCAGAAATTGCATCTGCTGAATGTAACAAAGGTCAAAGTCGCATTAATAAGTAAATCATCCCCCCCCCCCACCTTCATTCTCCATGTCGGACCGCATGAGGCCCTGCAGCCACTTGGTCCACTCGTGGTCTTCGGGGGCGGAGCCACACTCGTACATGTCTGGCGTGATGTCCGGGGCATGGAGCTCCGCCTCCAGCTGGCCCAAGGGCACGTTGCGGAGGGGGCGCTTGGAGCGCGTGCGGCACGCCACCAGGCTCTCGCCACCACCCCCACCGCCGCTCAGGGCCTGGCAGGGGGAGAGATGTCAGCATTCTGCTGGACTTGCAGAGTCTGCAAACACAGCCCAGTGACATCCGGTGGTGGCAGAACCTGGTCCTGACCTTGCAATATGAAACGGTCTAAAACCAGTGCTTCTGTTAAAAATAATTAGGGTGGACATTTGATATAGTTGATTGCCATAAGGATTTCACACATTTCACATTTAAGCGGCAACTTTCTGTAACTGCTTATTATAAAATCACAGCCAAGTTATATGCGATTCTTTTACGATGATGTTAAGGAAGCCCTGCATAATGAATTTAGTTTTGACTGAGAAAACAGCATTTAATCAGCTCTGGAAATGGTTCTGACTTGGCAGGATGGAGATGATTTCTTGGGGCTTTCAGAATAATGTTGGGAATGTCGACGACAGCAGAGAGAGAGCCAGGTGTGTCCCCTCGCACCTACCTGGTAGGGCTCCATGCAGATGGGGCTGAGTGCTAGCTCCTCATCCACGGCGTGGAGCTTCTCCATGAAGCTGCACTCGTGGGGCACCCTGACGGGGCGCTGGGGTCCAGCAGACTGGGGGGGCGGCGGCGGGCCCATGGGAACCACCTCCACCCTCAGATGCCTGGACAGCCGGGACTTCTGATGTGGTTTACAGGAGGGGGGAGAGCGGTTAAGGTGAACAGTTGACCGGCAATCCAAGGGGTGCAGGCCAGATAAGCCATGACATGGCATCCCCTACTCCGCCAAGTCACCTGTCTCGGGCTGCCGCCACGGCACTCTCCCTGCGCCGCGCTGTCCACGGGAGTCCGAGACCTCCCCGGGCGGCTGCCCCGGGGCGAGGAGGCGGTGCTCTCCACGTCGCTCTCCAAAAATGTCTGAAAGAGCAGAAACGTGACCCTCGCTGCCATAACAGAGCAGCGACCTCCAGACCACGGGGGGAGAAACGGACACCAGCTCTAGAAGTGCAGAGGCCCTGTCTGACTGACCTCCTCCGCTGTCTCGTCCTCCTCCTCTTCATCGGGACAGTACTCTTCGTCAGAGGAGTCCTCTTCCTCTAGCTGAATATCGACAAACTGTGGGGGCTGGAGGCAACAAGACATGTTTACAGGGAAGTTTAAAAACAAGATGTATTTATGGGTGATAAATGAGTTCATGTGCACTTGATCAATGCAGTAACGTTTTAAATACTTTTTATTGTCATCAGGTCGTTATTTAGCAAAGCAGGGCTTTTTTTTTTTTTTAGTATTTATCATGATCTGCAGCAGTATCTTAATTTATTCAGAACAGTAAAAATGTACTTAACATGTCAACCAACATAAGACATTTCTTAATATTAAATGTCAGTGCTCCAAGTACTGTCAGAGTCATTGTAATTGGGGGATTAATGCTGTGTTTCTTCAGAACTTGTAACTCGGAAATTCCGAGTTTCTTGTCGGAAATTTCAACTGGAACGCCCCCTGAAGTCAGAATTCCTACTCGGAAAGTCCGAGGGATCTACACAACCGAGACCTTAAAATTCAAGATGGCTGCGCCCTTCATCAACAGAAGTGAAAGCTAGTTTTTTTTTACTGTTTATTAGTACTTCTTACGCGTGACTCATTGAATCAGTCGTACGCACAGTACTGTCCAACCGTTAACTGTGGATGTGTTGCTATGGTGTTTTTATGCGCAAAATACCACGTAATGTGTCGTTAACTATTGGTATTGCTTACAATGGCTAACAATGAACCTAGAAAGAGCTGGGACCTATTCCAGAAAGCAGGATTTCTTGCTTAGCCAGATAATTAGTCAGATTTAAGGTAGTCTGGGCTAAACGTAAGTGAACCAATATATAGTCCAATTAAACTGAGCTAAATTAAATCCGACAAGTTATCCAGTTACGCAAGAAATCTTGTTTTTTGAAACAGGTCCCTGGTATGCGATTAACTCCAGTGTGACATCATTCCCAGTTCCAATCTTGAGGGAACTGGAATGCAGCATAAGACACACTCATGTTACACATACGAAGGACACTTAATGGGGCACAGGGAGAAAGACGATGCAAATCAGTCATGCATGTGGTTTGCGGCCGATTTCATCTGCTACATTTAAAACACAGCAGCTTAAATTCTGCGTGCAGCCTACAGAAACATTTTGACTAAAGAGTCCATATGCAGACGTTTTGCTAAAATAAGCCCCATATGGGGGGTGTAGTGTGTGTTTACAAACCTTCACTTCATTGGCCTTTTTGATGGCAGGGATGTTCCAGGTGGGAATGACCTGTCAGACACACACTGTGATATTAGACAGGCATCCTGTCACACTCGCCAAAGCTGAGTAATCCAGCCCATTCAGTCATGAATGTGCCAAAGGCTAAAATTCTGTTACTGACTACTCCAAGAACAAGGACGTGAATCTAAAGGCGGAAACTTACCACCCCTTTCTGTACAACTTCCTTCAGTCTAGAGCGGGTCATCTTGGGCTCCTGAAAGCAATAAAAAAAAGAGACTTAACAGTTACATTAAGAAATTCCAAACATTTCATGAAATCATGGAAGGTGGATGATAGCTAGGTAGCCATACAGACAGACAGACAGACACTCACAAACAAGGGCATGTCCTGTGTCTCCCTAATAGCCGCCTTCATCATGGCTACCACATGCTTGTTGGTGATGACCTCCTGTGGAGAGAGGGGCAAACTCTCTGCTCATGAGCTTCCCAATGCACACTTTCATATGTACTGTGGGGGTTGAATGATGTCCAACACGTGAAAGTGTTCTGAGATTGACAGAGGAGGTACTACTTCATATTAAAAGGGAAAATAACGGGAAGTGTCAACACGGAGCAACATCAACAAAGGCACGAAAGATAAAATATAATAAGATGAGAATAGCGGTGAGTGGCAAGTGCCAAACCCAGCTGCCCATTATGTAAGAGGAACTTCAGCTTCAGTCTGGAAATTTAATGCGCAGTAAATACACACAAAAAAGACAAATTCACAATGGAAGCGTTTGAGACCACAAATGTTACTCGTCGCTTGAAAAAGCGATGTATCATTCAGTAGCTACAGCGATTCCTATATAGTTCTTTTCAAAAAAGCAGAACTTCCCCCCAAAAAACTCCTGAAGCACTCGTACCCTTCTATATGCTGCTGCTCTTTATACTCAGCTGCCCTCTGCATACTAGAATCTAATCTGGTCCCTCCTTTATAACTCAGTCACACACAGTTCTTCCGACAGTCACACCAGCAGTAATAATACTAATAACGCTGGCGGCTCAGGCTGAGCTGTACTCACGTGCAGAATGCTGCGCACATTGGAGCGGCTCAGGTTGTGCTGTTGCGACTTTCTCTCCAGCTCTTTGTCCAGCTGCCTGTTAATATCCGGATCCTCACAGGCCATCTCTTCCTGCTCGGCCCTAGGCCCCGCAGCCTCTGTCCCCCCCGCCGCCCCCATTTTCATCCTCACGCCCTTCTTCCTCCATCCTTGCTGCCCCCCACACTGATTCTCACCTAGTGAGAGATCGATCACATTTAAAAAGCCATTCAACGAGCAGCGGGGGATGGATTACAAATAGGGCTGGGCAATACTGTAAAATATTTTATTGTGATAATATTTTTCATGTCAAACAATATCAGTGATTATCACAATGTAATTCAAGTCATTATTTCTTTACTCCCGTGCTCCATTTTTGCTTAAAATTGCCCTTAAACAGATTCAGAACACACAGAATCGACTGCAAACTTGCATGTAATTTTAATTTTAAAATGCTGCCAGGTTTTTTCTCCAACTACCTCGCTGTTTGTTCCATGGGTATGAAATAATATCAATATTTTCTGAGATTTCGACAATATTGATATTTGTCACAATATTGTAAAATTCATTTTTAGAAAACAGTAAAATATGACAGGTGGCTTTCAGTTTTTCTGATTATAATGAGCAAATCGTTTTACTAATAGTTATGGAGTGTATGACAGGTATAATGATAAATTACAGCAACAACAGACTTGTAACTTGATGGAATTTGTGTAAAAAAATAGAGCATTATAATTATTAATTATGTGCAAGAAAACAATCATGATATGATATTTTATCAATATATCACCCAGCCCAAATTATAGAAGAAGTTACACTGAATTTTAGAATGGGCACTGATGGGGACTCTGCTTTGACCATATAGAACAATGAAGGGAGGAATCTCACCCAGGGTGATGACTAGCCCGAGGTCACTGTCATCTTTGGGTGACGCAGGGTGCTGTGCTGGGCTGGTGCTGGGCTGGGATTCCTCTCTACACTCCACCTGGCCTGGAAACGGGATTATGGGAAAAAATTACTGCAGTATGTGAACTGCACCATAGAATGTGCTCTTTTTAGAAGGGATTATAGAAAACAGTCCTCAATTAAAATACAATAACATTATTGGAGGGACTAACCTCTTATTTACGAATAGTGGTTCAAGTTTTCCATTGTTAACGTTGATCATATGGTCATATAAGATCCTTGAAAATTACCCTACGCCACTTTTTCAGATAGTACCTGCAACAGGAGAATGAAAGCTGTGCCGATACCTTTAAACCTGGCCGAATGTCCTCTTTGTGGGGATGCATCTGAGACGATGCGCTGGCGTTTCCTTTTCGCGAATGGACAGATCCTTTGCGAATCAAGGGACGCGCTGCGAGACGCTTTTATCTCAAACACATCCTCGTCCTTCTTTAAGGCTTCGGAACGGGCAAGCCTTGGTTCAGGTGAGCTAGATTTACGTTTTCGGGCCATAAGCATCCTCAAATCAAACCTATACAACACACATTTGTGTTGCGGTGGTGAGAATTATATTTTGTACTTGTAAAATAACTAGTTTTAGTTCATACGAGCCACAAAAATACTGCAAAATACTGCGATAAGTTTTTATTTCCTAGTCAGATACAACGTTAACGTTTTAATTTAAATACTGACAGCTAATAATATGTACAAATGTTACTTTAACAAAAACTAATATTCATATTGTATAATTTTACAGTAAAATAGCCACCTGTATTATCGTAAACACTGTCAATGTAAATAAGGATATGTCGTAAGGATAAGAAATGCAATTATAAATAAAAAACTGATAAACCCTGTAGTGAGATTGCTAAACATATGAGAAATATTATTAGCTTATGACACTAAAGAAGTAACTTACCTGCTTCATCTGGTTTGTTTTCTTTTTTCCCTCCACGTAATGCAATCGATTAGTCGCTCCATACAACTGTCGCGCATCCTCTCATGTTTGTTTTTTCCCGGTTCGTCTCTGCTCTGATGAACCCTATTGTCCCTCGCCCTTCTTTCTCTCGTAAACTGTTTATTAGGACAAATATGTATCTATTCTACTGATTACAAGTAACCGCCGGTTTACAATTCCCTCCATCAGTACGGTCTCGGACATTGATTGTAACAGTAAACTTCCGGGTGTCACTCTGAACAGCTTCCCCGAGTAAGGACAGACTTTGCCTGGCACATTAGTTCCTACATGAAACAAAAATTCGTAGGCTAGTGAAATTAATAGGCTATAGACACAGACTATACCATATCATACGAACAAAGGCAACCTAAACTGGCTTATTTCCTGTTTCATATCAGCCTTAGCACAAAATATACGCGTTTATGTAAATATTTAATTTTAAATGTCTTTTCCAAGAATTAAGTATAAGAAATATTGGAATAAATTGGAAGAGTTCAGAAAACATACAAATATGGGTCGCTAACTTTGGTCAGCTGTCTGTCGCGAGATTTTCAATTCGAGACAAGTCTGCACACACATGTACATTTATGTAACAGTGTTATTGCCTTGTAAAGAGTCTATAGGTTTTGCATATTTTAGGTTTATAATGGAATAATATAGATTTCTCGCGTGAGTGTGAGAGTCTTAAAGCGTGAGTTTCACGCCAGATGCGTGGGATGCTGACAACCCTGATAACATTCTGGAATATCTTATTATAACTACAATCATAGGCAAAAGTTAGAAAAGCAATCAGTGTAAAAGAGTTTATTTGGAAATTATATTTTCTGATACAGTCAGTCATTTCTGACATTTTTGATCATCGTTTTATTGTGTTTATCTGCATTTGTCGCTCCGTAACAGCTTATATACTGCAGTTTACCGTAAACAACCTCCCTCCTCGCTATGTTGTATTTTATTACTTTTACTGTCACCTCTATAGTTCATAATGTCAAATGATTGGTATAAATCAAAATATACGCTATTAAATATCGGTTTTGAAACAGAAAAAGATATGTTCAGCAGACAAGAAGTCCTCCTAAAAGTACTTGGGTATCTCTGGCACACTAATTAATCAAAAATATTATCAGTACGTGCAGTTTGAGAGGCACGTGAACTTGACGGCTGGGAAAACAGAATAACTTGCATAACGAATCATGTCAATCTGTTTCAGTTGTTTTAGACTCAGGGGTGGGGCTACGCAGCTAAGTGATCCAAAGGGAAAAAATATGTCAGCATTGACGTCATTGGCTGATATATATATGTATATGCTCCTGTCACCTTTGCAATTCTGCGGTGAACTAGGGTGTATGTCGTACATGACCAAAAAAATACAGACTTTTTATATTATAAATTTATTTTTTTTATAATTGTCTGGACAAAAGAAAGAAATAACGACTGTAATGATGGCAGTAGTATGATCTCCTGGAAATTTTCAAAGTTATTCACTTTCGATGAATTTGTGAAAATGCCAGCTTTGGCCGTTTCTAAAGCAGCGAGGGTTTCTGCGTTTGAGACATGTGCCTCTGAGGACAACACAAGCAAGCTGTCATCGATGCCGGCCAGTCAGGACATCCCAACCGAAATGAAGAGACAGATGTCGCTGAGGGACATGGTGATGACCCCTGATCGGGTGCCCAAGTTCACTATTCCACCTTTGGCTACAATGACCAGGACACGCTGTACGGCACTTCACAACGAATTAGAGAGATCCAGAGTGGGATCCCCCAAAAGCTGTCGACGGTGTACAGTGGCATGCTTAGGACCACCCTGTCGTTCGCGGTGCATAACTCATCACCCATCTGAGACAGTATCGGAACGCGGACTCTGGCTGGACCTGGCTAACGAGGATCTTTCGGATCCAGTGACCCGGGCGGCGATGTCCATTCCGCACCTGCAAAAAATCACCACCCCTTACGGCTTTCTCGCCCTAGGAGAGAGCCCGTGCGTCCAGCGCCGGGAGTCCCTCTTCTTCGAAGACGAGATCGCGCATTCAGTCACATCCCGACCGCCGGCTGCCAGACGCATTGCTATGCCGCGGACGCAGTCCCTTCCTCTGTCCGATATGGGCAACGTGTCCCGTACAGCGAGGAGGACATTTCGCTCCCTGTCTTGCAACTCGACCGCTTCGCGGAATTGTGATACCGGTAAACCCGAAGCCCATCCGCATGGTGTGCAACCCGACTCCGAGCCAGGTCTCCCCAAACCCTTTCCTTCATCTCCTCCATGCAGAGGGCGACTAAAGTTGCTCCTGAAGAAGCGCCTGGCTGCGGTGAGGACTTTAAAATCTAGCGGACGGTTGGATGGACAAGGAGATCTTAACGCTGGATGCTGTACCCTAGATAAGCGCAGATGCTCTAAATCAACATAATGTTTGCCAATTAAATACAGACTGTTTACATGAAATACTGTTCTGCGTTTTTTCCTTTTGCATAACATATTGCTTACATGGATGTTAGTTTTATATATGGTGTCTGTCAAAAAACTTTCTCCGCTCCTTATAGGTTAATTAAAAGTGTCATTCAAAGAATGATTTTTATATCCTTGCGGAAGGTTTTAATCATATTTACGTATTGGAAACTTTAACAATGCACATTGACGCCTATATTTTACCAAGTCTTCGTCTTTATCAAATCTATCGAATCTGTTAATTGAATACATCTTAAAACTAAGTTTCAAATGACATCACGGTAAACTAAGTCTGCTCTATACAAACCAGCAAAATAATGCGACGTGTTCTTTCCCCATTTTTATTTATTAATAGCAATGTTGTGGTCTTTTTGTATAGGAAAATTAACTGAACAAAAGAAATTAAAAACTTGTATCAGATGTCCATAATCCCCACCTACCCATACCTCCTACTTGCAGTGAAAGACACAAGCAGGGCCTTGTTGACATGAGGTCTCTAAGTTACAATTACAGAAAAGTAGAGACATCTGTCAACAGGCTGGCTGTTCTTGCCTCCAAGTCTGTAAGTGAAGGGCAGGCCGCTGACAGGGTCAGTTAAAACTCATCCACAGCTTAACCGTCCGTTGGCCGTTAGCCATGATGCTATTAAACAAAACATTGCAAATCACTTGAATTCAGGATTCGTCACCCTAACCCTCCCCACCCCCCGCTTTTCATCCGCAACCTTTTTTCCATCGAATGCACCGTCTCAGTGAAAAGTAAATTGAGAGGAGCGTGTAGCTATGGCGAAGTCCCTGAAGGTCTTCCAGGAAGTCGAGAGGCATCACACGCTGCTGTTCGTGACAGGTTAGTACTAGAGTATGGGGTGTTTTTGGGGAGGGGGGGGGGGGTTACAGCGACATAAGTCCACCTCGCCCGCTTAAGTCTTTAAGTTGTTGTGCAATCCTATTTCCATAAGGCAGAATCTGAGTCTGTCGGTCCGTTGTTTGTCAGGTCTGTCCGAACCATGGTGACAGGAGTTTTCCGCATCCTTACTTGCCCCCCATTCCCTCCAGCCCCTGCTGTGCCCACTGTCTCGTGAGGGCCAATGAGCAGAAAGAGGAGGGGTTTGGGGGAGGGGCACATCTCTGGTCTCTGCCAATGGCGGCAGAGCCGGAGCGGGAAGCCCCGTCCCTTGCGGCAGGGTTGTCTCTGGGACAGCAGCTCCTCGCCGGGGGAGTAGAGTGGGCCGCGGACATGTCCTCCGGTAACGTCACAATGGCAGTCGTGGCTGGTGGGCGTCTCTCAGTCGCTGTCTGAGCCCACGGCAGACGAGCCTTTCCTCTTCCGCTTGGGGGCTTTGGGCTTGGAATCCTCCTCCTCCTGGGATGGAGAGAGGCGGCAGTGATGAGCACAGGGTTTCAGGCGCACACGAGCATTCAGAAAGCGCGGCGGCAGAGCGCGTACTGACCGAGGCGCTGCTGGAGACGCTCTCCTCCTCATTGCTGGCTGGCTGGGCTGCCCCTTTCCGCGAGCGCAGGGACGACGACACCGGGGCCTTACGCCGGGACTTCGGGGGCTTGGAGGAGGAGTCCTCAAACTCGTCAGCCAATGAGAAAAGGTCACTGAATCTAGACCAATGGGGGTGGAAAAATTGAGCCCAGTGTTATATGTGAAAGTTTTTTTGTTTTTTTTTAACTTGATGTAATCAGTCATTGGCTAATTTGTAGGGGTGGGAGGGGCATGGATACCCTGACAGATTTAGAGGGCCCAGCACTTTACAGGGACCCACAAATACGTAAGATTATAAAATTATTATTGAGGCACCGATAAGAAATGTTTCTAAATGTTTAGTACACGGGTGTGCAAAGCAATATGGGGGGGGGGGTCACCATTTTAAAGGCAATTATTGGCGGTAAGTATCAGCTCATTTTTAACCAGCGGCTAATACTGATAGCAGGCCGATATAATTGGTGCATCTCTAAAAATTATATGATGCAAGGGAGATGGGGGGGGGCCCAAGGTGACATTTTGTCTGGAGGAAGGGGGCAGAATGTCTAGCTGCTCCACTGCTAATGTATAACGAACAGCTGAGAATGAAAAAAAGTAGGAAAATAAGAAAAATTAATAGTAGGAAAAAGAATGGATGTTGCCCATTGTGCAAGGGGGTCGGGAACCCATCCTAGGCTAGAGGGCATGAGGCAGGGGTACACCCTGGATGGGATGTCAGTACCAAACATATGTTCCACTTTCACACTAGACCTCACACACACAAAAAACAGCATGCTGTACAGAGGAACTGCTTCAGTTCTCTATTTAACTGACAAGAGTGAAATTTCTGGCTATAACGCGATCAAATGATATATATATATATTCTGTAAATAAATGGACTTTGGGTATAAAGTGTCCCTTTACTGTGAGATTGGTCGTTAAAATACACACATTCTCTGACCATCTCAGCTTGCAGACGCAGCTTACGTGTTTGCCATCAGTGCTAAGCAAAGTTTAGGAGCCGTGAAGCTCCGGGAAAAGCGGGAACTGCAGAAAACAGCTAGAAGGGCCCAGAAGAATGAAAACGAAACAAAAACAAATCGACATTTTAATTAAAGTGCAAATACGGTAATTATTCCCACTTCAGAAAACGGGAGCAGCATGGTAGTTTCAAGTGAAACTCGGCTAATCGGGCTTCACCGTTACAGCTGGAGCGGGACTCAGGCGGTGACTCACCTCATCTTGTGGGCCTCATCACAGCTGGCCTGAACATGCTGGAGAGCCTGCAGGATGGGGGTCTGGGTGAAGACTGCCGACACACAGGCAGATGGGGCCAGAAATGAGTTTAATCGTAGAGAGCGGATCTCACCGCCGTTCACATTTTGTTTGATTTCTCTGATGCTTTTATGCAATGCAACTTCCAGCAGACGGAAGAGTTACAATTGATGTGAGGTCCCTGGGATTCAAACCCACCACCTTCACATTGTTAGCACAGCGCTCTACTTGTTGAGCTACCAGTGCCATATGGCTGCACAGCACATTTTCCCAGACTCACAGTTGTGCTTCGTGTTGCTGAGGTTCAGCCGCAGGTTGTCCATGTGCTCCAGGATCTGTTCCAGGGTCAGCTGAGCCAGCTTGCTGCTGGAGCTCCGCAGGCTACAGAGGGTTTGAATTACTGTTAAGCCGCTGCCTTCAGCTGTCTGTGGTTAATTATATTACATTTATTTATCTATGAGACACTTTTTTTTTAGCAAAATACAATTGAGAAAGCAGAGTCAGTCCCTGGAGCTATAGGGGGTTAAGGGCCTCACTCAGGGGCCCCAACCTTGGGATTTGAACCAACAACCATCCGATTGCAGGCACCATATCCTAAGCTATTAAGTCACACATTATCCCTGTTGTTAGCCGGGTACCTCTGGCGTTTGCGTGGGAGGCTGTTGTTCTTGATCAGCAGGGCCTTGATGTGTTCGCCGAGAACATCATCATGCTTTGTGGCCCAGTGCCGGAGGATGCTGGTGGTGAACTGGTCCTCGTGGTGGCACGGCCGGCTCAGCACCATCTTCACCATCTCCTCGGTGGGCCTGGGGGGGGGGGGGGTCGACATGCAGAGGCCGTGGTTCGACTCTCCTCATCCACCACGTCAGTCTAGTCTGGTGCTGAAATAGCCCCAGTGCCTCACGCGAGAGCGGCAGCCCCCACACAGTCTCATTACAGACTTTTTTTTGTATTTCGTTTTTATTTATATTAATATTATTTTCATTTTCCATGTGAAATCCAGGTTAGTTTTCATTATCAATATGGTTTTATTAGCTTACTTTTAAAAAATATTTCCATTTAGTTTTTATACATTTTATTTCAGTTTAAGCTTTAGTAATTTTGTTTCCAGGGACAGATTAAAAGTTGAAAGTGTCTGATCTTTAGAAACTCCTGCACAAATACACATTATGTACTTATGTCCTAAAATTGGGAGAAACATTATCATTACTTTAGCTAAATAGTATTGGAACAGTAAATGGTAATGGAACGTATTTGACATTTTAAAATAAATTTAATTATTTGTGGAGCCAATATTTATACTTTCCATTTAGTTGTAGCTAATTTAATTTTTGTTTGTTATTTTATTCCAATTAAAGATGTTTGCTTACTGTTTTCATTAGTGATAATAACCCCGCCCTCCCCAGCATCCATGGCATGTATAGAGGGACTCACTTCTCTCTGCGCAGCTGCAGTAGCAGGCAGGACAGGGCTTCTGGGTGTTCTAGGGGAAGAGCAGATGTAACTCAGCACCGATTTCCTGCACACTGGGGGGCGGGGCTTAATGGGAGCATCCCACGAAAAGGGGCGGAGCTTAACTGGAGCGTCCCACGAAAGGGGGCGGGGCTTAACGGGAGCATCCCACCAAAAGGGGCGGGGCTTAACGGGAGCATCTCACAAAAAGGGGCGGGGCTTAACGGGAGCATCCCACGAAAAGGGGCATGGCTTAACGGGAGCATCCCAAGAAAAGGGGCGAGGCTTAACGGGAGCATCCCACCAAAAGGGGCGGGGCTTAACGGGAGCATCCCACAAAATGGGGCGGGGCCTCACCTTTGTACTTGAGGTGCTGCAGGATGGGAATGATGGTCTCCAGGGGGATGCTGTGAGCCAGGAACAGCTGCCAGGTGCTGTACTGCTCGAAGGTCTCCCAGTCCAAAGATTGAACTGTGACAGGAAAGCCCAGCATTACCACACACACACTCCCTGGCATGTGGACCCCTCCCCCCCCCACTCTCCGCGGTTACGAAAGGCACACTCACTGAGTATGTTGAGAACGGAGTCTTTCCGGAACATGACCAGATTCCCCATCATCACGTGACACATCAGCTCCTGCAGCTGGAGAAGGTGTGACAAAACAAGTGTACACCATTAGACTGCTACTGGGGCAGATGGGCCAGCCCGCTCGCTCCTGATTGGTGGTTCTGCCTAAGGAGGGGCGGTCCTTAGGGTTTTACCTGCGTGGAGTCGATGACGGCCACAATCATGTTGAGGAGCTCCCCGCTGCGGAGCGTCTCGTCCGGGAACTGCAGACAGAGGGCAAGCCCTATTCAGCGTGGTAAGGCAGAAAAGAGGGGGAGAGAAAGGCAGAGCGCGATGGAGGGAGAGAGAGCGAGAGATCGGGAGGGACGAACCTCGCTGTAGATGGAGGGCGTGAGGTAGCAGAGCAGCCGGACATCATCCTCCTGGCACGCCTTCATGTCCATCATCAGGCAGGTGTGCAGGTCACCCAGCGCTGTGGCCTGGGCGAACGACTCGTATAGGCTCATCTTCCCCATCGCCGCTTTGCTGGGGGGTCAGAAAAGGTGGGCCGTGTTAAAGGGGTGGGCTCTTAAAGGGGTGGGCTCTTAAAGGGGTGGGCTCTTAAAGGGATACCAGAACCTCACCACAGACGCAGAGGAAAGGCACAAGAGAGAAAAAAAAAATCAAACCTGGCTTTGACACTAAAAGCTTAGCATGAAAACGCAATAAAATATTTTAGTTGCATATATTTGTTGCACTTTGCCGAATAGAGAATAAGTAACCTGAGCCAGTAAACTTCAGCTTGTGGTTCTGCTTCGCTAAGCGCTCTTGTTACAGTTCATGAGCTTAAGCGTTATATCGGATTTGTGTTCTGACAAGATGACAACAGCCCAACGGAAACTGGTGTCAGCCCCAGGCCACCAGGCGGGTGAGAACAGCGCCGTCACCTGGCCTTCAGGTAGTAGAGCAGGTGGTAGCCGATCTTGGGCTGCTTCTGGTACAGCTCGGCGAGCATGTCCAGCAGCACGGAGAAGCCGCTGTTGTCCTCCTGCATCTGGCAGAGGTTCCTGAAGACCAGGCACACGGGTTTGCACACGGACTCCTCCAGGGACCTGACGGCAGGACGGGCAAACCAGCTCAGACCAAGGGTTCCCCACCACAACGGACACAGATGCAAAACACCCCCCCCCCAACTCCTCTATGTAGCAGGGAGACGGGATGGAGGAGAGAGAGGAAAAAAAAAAAAAAAGACGGCCCACTCACTCCTCTGTGATCTCGTCCGGCAGCACGTCCCCCCGAAAGTGACCTTTAAAGAGCTCAGCCAGGCATGATGCCAAAGTTGACATTTGCTCAGAATCAAAGTCCTCCTAGAAGGGAGGGGGGGAGGGCAGGAAGTCATAAAGGGGAATAATGAAAATGCCAAGGGGCTACAAGCGAGGACGAATCTGAATCGATACAAACGTCAGCACAGGGATCTAAATGGCAACTTACCTCCAGGATGAGGTCTACTATCTCCTGCATGACCTCACAGTGTGTCTCTGTGTCACTGTCAATAACATGAGATGGGGGGCGGGGGGGGGTTAATCTCCCCATTAATTTCAAGCTTCAACACGACACACTTCTAATGAGGCGAGTGGCAGCCCGTCCTTCAACACACTCACCTGTCCTTCTGCAGCTGCAACACCTTCTCCCGCAGAGTCTCATCCAATTGGTCGACAAAGGGCGTGATGTCAGCGGGCTCATCAATAATGGCTTCTTTGATTGGGTGGAATCTAAATTCACGCTTTTTGCCTTGAAGAAATAATCACAGTATTCCTTAATTTGGTTTTACCTACTTTTTAAAAGTATGTGAGGGTTAACCTAACCAGGGGAATGGCTAAAGGGAAACATACACCATTTGAACAGATCTAGACAGCAGTACGATGTCAGGGAAATCAAGTGTGTAAAATAAGGGGTTTCGCAGAGACAAAGTTTATGAATGAACCTCAGCAGTTTGTTCACAGGAACGCGAGAATTCTCACCTTTGTTGTTGAGCTCCTCCTCGTCATCGCTGAAGGTGGCCTCTGTGTTGTCGTAGCAACCATCCTCCTTGTCTAAAACATGATTATCCATCTCCAAGGAAACAGACTCTTCCATTTTCACTGCAGAAAGAGCTCTGTTAGCCAAACTTCAACTAAAAAGCATACCTGAGCTAATCTCATGTCGTACAATTACAAAACTTACACGAACCCGCTTCCGACAAATACTAAATAATGCTACAATGAGACCACAAGACGGACGTTCGTGAGCAGACATGCCTTGCTGACCTTCCACTGGCGGTGAGGGGGAGCTACAGAATTCGGGGAACCGCTCTCTCAGCATGGACCTCAGCTCGCGATCCAGCTTGGGGTTGTCAAACAGGGGGGCCAAGTGGCTGTAGGGGCAGGGGGACAGAGGTCATCATTTTAAGCATCCAAGTTTAATGTGAGGCCACGCACGCCATTTCACGCGCGCGTTTACGGCGGGGGGAGGACGGACACTCACGCCAGCACTCTCTTCTCCATGATGAAGTTGAGAGAGTTGAAGATGCCCTGGCGGACGTTGACCTCCAGGGCTGGATAGAAGTTGGGGATTATCTGCAGAGGGGAAGCGAGGAGAGTCGGCAAAGCGAGGAATGAAGGAAGGGGACGTGAGGGCAAGGATGCAAGCGGCGGACGTGGCGACCGGGGCGGAGGTGGCTGCCACTGACCCTGCACATGAAGTCCAGCAGAGTGGCGGTGATGGCGGGGTGAGGCTTCATGGAGTGGTGCATGACCAGGATGGCTGGCTCTGGAGGAAGATGGGGGAGGGGAGACATTAGACAGAGGCCCATGCTGGGGTAGACAACCCCCCCTTCAAACTCCCCCTCATCCATCTCAACACCCTGCCCCTCACCTATATTCATGATACTGTCCTTCTCCGGGTTGAAAAACAGCCAATCATAGAAGAGAGCCAGCTTGGCGTTGGAGGCCGCGACGTTGGACTGATTCAGGAGGCAGAGGGAGAAACGAGGGCAGGTTAGCCAGGCGCAGGCACAGTCAGCAGGCATGGAACACGCAGGGGACTCGGCACTTACCGTGCAGGTGGTGAGCAGCCAGCCAATGATGGCCCAGCGGGGCAGGATGTCGGAGCTCAGCACCTCGTTGGAGGGATGCACCACGCCGCAGATGTAACGGATCAGGTCGCAGCGCAGCGACTGGCTGTCCGCCGTCGACAGGTACTGCCGCTGGAACCAGTCCTGGTACCGCTTCTGCTGCCCAAATCGGACCTGTGGACAGGACAGTATAGGTCAGGATCTACCCATCCATCTACTCCGACATGGGTCTTGGAATACGGCACAATCGGGTCAAGGTTACCCGGGAAGTCATGAAGAGCAGCTTCGTCTCCATGTCAGGGGTTAGTCGACACGCCAGGAATTTGCGGGACGTGCGAGAGGACAGGAGCTGCAGAATGCCTAAAAGGACGGGAAGTAGAAATAGTGAATAAGAGTGAACAGGAGCCAGTGAGGAGCCAATGAGGAGAACCTGAGAGACGGGGACCTGTAAACTGAGGACTGAGAGTCTGTGGGTTGTGCAGAAGGTCCCTCCACAGGAGCTCCATCTCAGGAATCCGGGCAACGTTCTGAAGCAGACGCACCAGATCCCTCCCAATGATGAAACAGTCCATGAACTGAGAAGTGGATGGAGATAAAAGAGTCAGCGATGTGGATTTATAACCCATCACGAGTCGGACACCACGCGCCGTACTGACGTCAGGCATCGTCATGCCTTCCCGCCTTCCTGCTCACCTTCTCCCTGAGGAGCCCGATGCAGAAGTCCACCTCCTTTTGCCGGAGCGCCAGGAGGGTCGGGCTGCCATGGTGGTCCACGATGAGGCGCAGGTACGTGTAGACAGACATGGCGATCAGCATCCCGCTCTTTGTCACCCACTCCCTACCGAGATAAAATACGGCCACCGTCAGCCACGTGACACCAGACAGGGAAGCTTCCAAGGTCCTCTCCCTCATGGTCCACCTTTGCTCCACCAAGATGTCCAGGACGTTCTCAGCCAGCCACAGGTTCTTGGTGGAGATGTCTCCTCCTGCAAAAAAGAAACACAGCATTTAACGGGGCGAAACAAGACAGTGCAGGTGAACCAGACACACGCCAGTGAAAAGATACAATCGTGAAAAAACAGACGGGACTCACCAGCGATCTGCTTCATGAGGGTCATCAGGACCCCATCGGCACCGATGACGCCGCTCTTCACCAGCTCGCGCACCAGCCAGACCAACTGGCCACAGAGAAGGGGAGGAAGAAGCATGGGGTATAGCCATGAGAACCCTTACAACTTTCGATGGGGAACTTCAATGTGAAACTGACTGAGGGGCTACCTGGGGATGGCTTATGTCACACTAAAAGGGAGAGCAGGGCTGGAGCAGCGAGGGGCTGGAGTACCTGACTACGGCAAACGTCCTGCAGCTTCAGGAACTTCTCCATGAGAATTTGGTTGATCTTGACGAGAACCACATTCATCCCATCCCTGTTGACCAGCGTTAAGTCCCTGTAACACTGCAGGGGTGGGGGGATGCCAAACAAGACCTCAGTCAACATTGTGACAATTGTGACACCGCGCACCTCACAATTATAAAGTCACAAGATATAGCACTGGAGTAGGACAGCGATTCGGCTGGCAAGTTCCACCATTACTTGAAGTTGTGCCGTTAACCATGTTCCTGAAACATGGCCAGAGTTTTTTTTCAGACGATAAAAGAAGCCAGTTTTGGGCCGATTTGGACGAGGCCGAGATGGAAGACTTGACGGGCACTTTAGCTGCGAGGTTTCATCAAGGCTACCGGTTCCGATTCGCGAAATAAAAGAGCAACGGAAAATCTTCCATCCTTTTTTCAACAAAAAGAATTAGTATGGAGAGAAATTAAATTCACGGTTGCCTTTTTGTATAATAAATACAGTGCACATGCTTGCAGTTTGTCGTCGATGCTCTCACGCTTCGAGTCAGCGGTCTCCAACCTTTTTTACAGCGAGAGCTACTTTTACCTTTAACAAGGAAAATAATGGGGGGAGCTACAGTCACTAAGGTATTTTTTGCCAGTGCGGTGGGTCCCTCTCAGTATATTCTGGGGGGGGGTTAAAAGATGTTTTTCGACTGGTTGAGAACCACAGCTTTAAGTGATCATTTTTGTCTTCAGTGCTGTGAAGGAGGGCAGACAGACAGGCGGCCGGACGGACAGACAGGCGGCCGGACGGACAGACAGGCGGCCGGACGGACAGACAGGCGGCCGGACGGACAGACAGGCGGCCGGACGGACAGACAGCCACAGCAGCATACCCTCTGTGCCTGCGCCGGCTCCGTCAGCAGCAACGTGAAGAGTCCCAAGCAGACCTCCTCGTGCTGCTGGGCCCCCTTACACACCTTGGGGAGGCAACGAGAACAAGCGGGACAGCAAGGGGGGCATTAACAGGGATGAATGGGGAGGTGGGCCTTATATCAAATACAACTGAGCACAAAACAAATAAAAATCAATGACTACACTACCCAAAAAGGGCAAAAACATTTATGGATAATTACTATCCATTGAAACACAGCCATCCAAGAAGTTCTAATGAATTGGTTTACTAAAGTCACATTCCCCACGCCAGTACATTGACTGGGACATGTAATGTAATGACACAGAGCAGAAAACGCATGTAGCAGAGACTCACGTGGGCAGTCAGGGCATCGTTGGCTTCGCGTTCCGACAGCCCATTAATCAGGGACGTCACAATTCCGACGCATCTCTCCAGGCGCTGAGACACAGAGTTAATCATACATGCGTGCAGGGTACAAACACAGTACAAAGCATGAACCTGGCAAAAACACCCCGGACAAGCTACAACGCAAAAACAGTTTCATTTATGAAATGATCATAAAAAACATAATTGTTATGAACTACTACTGTTACTGACAACCCTTTAGGATATTAAGTGTTACAGATGGATGCTGACAAATGTCAAGATTTTCCATATTTTACTTATAACCTAATTTTCTTCATAAACACAATCAAGGTTATGTATAAAATCTTTGCCTGTCTAAGATCTGAAACAGTAGTCCTCCGTTAAATCTGTATATCTCCCTAGTTTTAACAACATGTCATAAGCAACAGCATTTAAAAGTGTGCTCTGCACCATAATTACGGATCATTTGTCAATTGTGAGGACTCTGCAAGATGAGCCATTGTCCATCAACTGTGTTCAGAGTAGAGTAAATGACCATCGATTGAAGTAAAAGAGAAAAAAAACTATAAAATACCAGCGCACATCACTGATTACATGGGACCTAGCTGTATGCAGTTTCTACACAATATGGTTTGCTAATCATCTTGCAAATTCAGATTCTGTCGTAAAGACTGGTAAGGTGGATACTGATATTAAGCCTCGATATACATGCAAAATATTTGCTTACAAATCCTCTTACCTCCTCTAGCTCATCTTTGGCGTCTAAAGTCGTAGAAACGAGCAACCGACCCTGCGGTTTCCCCTTTACCGGTGAGGGCTCCATAGCCTCCCTCCTCGCTCTTCGCCTGGCCCCAGAGCGCTTATGAACTACACCGGGATTATTTACACAATTTTAATGTTGTATTTAAGTGTCTGTCGTGTTCAGCCTTGTTTATCGGCTTTGTTATCTAACCTGAGACCCACACGATGTGTTTATAAACAAGATGTAGACACCTTTCACTCATTCCAATGCTCAACTACAACAAACTATCTTCCGGAGGGCATGGTGGCCTAGCGGAAACAGTAGTAGGACAAACAGTATGGGAGGAGCCGCAAAGATCGACTGTCAACCAATTGGCGAGGGTTTTCGCTCTACTGACGTACGTAGTAGCCAATCAAAGTAGATAATCACACTACTAGGTAGTGTCACATTGGAGAATAGTCCAATCAGCGATCAAAGCTGTCCTGAGTGGCATGGGTGTCAATTTAAGAAGGTCTACTTAGCTAAAAGCGTGTTCTTGCGCGACAGCAACTTGATGAAATTGGTCTAAGTGGGAGTTATTAACTAGTTTGGTTTCGGGCATTTGGAAACCAAATGAACATAATTATAATATTACGAAACAGATAGTTGCATCAGACACTTAAACATTTAGTTGCCACCAAAAGGTAAAAGCGCGAACTCTTCCCGGAACAGCCGCTGGGAAGTTAGGCTGCTGCCACTTGGAGGAGCCGTTGAGTTGTCAATGGCACTAATACAGTGTCACAGACGATCCGGATAACGCACAGTGCCAGCTATTTTTATTCTAACCAACCTGTTAAAAATGGATAGATTGATCGAGATACTGTAGTTGTTCATGATCACATTTGTGGTTAGAGGAATAATTACTTACTGTCTTCCATACCTCATCTTTTTATCCTTTTTGTCTTTACACGTGCTCTTTTTTATACATACTGGTATTTTAAGCTTTGCTTGTTTTTAAAATCTTGCTCTATGAGAGCGATTCCTTGGCACAGTAATGTCCCTTGGGATGAATTGAATTGATAAATACGATTTCCCCCTTTATTAATCTACTGTGTTTGAAGACGTTTATATATGTAACATTACAAAGAAGCATAACGTAATTTTGCGTTGAATTAGCCATCTTCCAACGGCTTATTCTGGTCTGGGTTGTAGGTTGGGGATGGGGGGCAGGAAATTATTACAAATCCACACACAGACAGTCTAGAGACACTTTTGACGTGTCATTGGACAACATAAAAAATCCACAAGCACGTATCAGAGGCAGGTTTCAAACTTTAGGTGGTGCTAATCATTGACCCTTAAATAATATATGATTTCCATCCATCCCTCACAGGGGGGGTGGGGGGTGGATGGAGCCCATCCTCGGCAACATGGCACAAGGCTGGGCTACACCTTGGTTGGGATGGAAGTCCGTTGCAGGGCATCTACATGCACACACTTTGATAAACGATAGAGATAGCTATCAGCTTAGCTACATGACGTTGGAGGAATCAGAGCATCTGGAGAAAACCAATGTGTCAAGGAGGAACAAGCAAACTGTGCACAGTGCAGAGGGGGGCTTTGAACTCACAACCCTGGAAGTGTGAGGCAGCCCTGCTAAGCTGAGCCTTGAATAATTTATGATCTCCAGATATTACAAATAAAATATACAGCTTAATTAGGACTGATTAATTATACAGTTAAATGAACTAGAAAATGTAAGTAGCATAATCAGTCTAACACATACAAAAATGTCAAGTTCGTGCCAAATCACGGTCAGTTTAATGAGCAACTCGGTGTAGTCTAATTACTGAAGAGCTGCAAACCATGAGAAAAATATAATATTCCATAGCAAATCCAACAAAACTTCGTGCTAATGAGTAAGCACATGTAAATATAAAATATGTTGCTTGTGTCTTTCTGTTGCCAAAAGAGCCTACTGTAATTAGAAATATAAAGAAATACGTTGCAGCTACACTGAAATAGATTAAAGTTAAGTGCATGTTTTACTAATTATTTGTTTGGATATTTTTAGTTTGAGTCTTTGACGGGTTCTGTGCATTAAATATGCCCAAATATTATGGTTTGGCCAACGCAGTCGTTACAGAAAGCAGCAGTGCACATTTACATTCCCAGTGAAAGAATGTAAACAATTCATGGGCGAGTGGGTTCTGAGGAAGCCACAGCTCTCTGTTGCTGTCATCTCCCTGCTTTCCATGCTTTTCCATTATACTGTAGCACTCATGCTGTTCTGTTCAGTTGATAAAATTGATGGGCTCCTCGCTGGGGTAGCATTTAATCCAGATGTGGCCTGCCTGCCGCACAGGGCTTATGCTGTCACCTTAACATAACAAGGAGTTATTGACAATCATGAATAGAAGAATAGTCTAGGCTGTAAGATTAACTATACCAGATATTTTATCAAAATTTCCAGTAATTTTTTGACTTGATGACTTAGTGTGTAGTACTGTAGCTTCATTCCTGCAGCTGGGTTTGTGTGTGTGTGGGGGGGGGGTGGTTGTGTTCAGTCCCAAAACATGCTGCTTAAATGAATTGCTGGCTTTATATTCCGTGAGTTTGCTGTGCAATCGACTGGAGTCTTGTCCTCGGTGTCCCCTGCCCAAGATACTTACGTTTACCAATGAGTAAGTGGCTATGGAAAATGTACCTTTGTTGCTGAATGTGTCCAGATACATAACAGTACTGATATGTAAGCTTGCAATGACTTTTTTTTCATTTATATGTAGTCTAGGTTACCTATTATGTATGTACAGTATGGCATCAATGAAAATTATTTGATCTGGCCAGAAATGTTTTAGACAGATACATACCTGTCCTGCGGGCAAGAATGTCCACATGTTTATAATATTGTGACTGAATCAATCTTCTGGTACTCTTAAGCCCCACTGAACCCCAAGGAGAATAAAGATTATTCAATAAAGTTTCCTGTACTCAAATACATAAACTAATAAAACACATAAGAAATGGTACAAACTGTACTGGAACTAATTCGTCCCATGTTGTCTGTCTGGATATTCAGCATGTATGCAATCGCTTCACAAACATGCCGAATGGGTCCCCACTCCAGCACAGAATTTATGGCGATTTTTGTTTGATGACATCATAGCTTTCCAGATTCAACATTTTCAGTGGGTTGAAATTCCACACTGCATAACTTCCATATTCAGGGTTTGATAGGAAGCATGTGTCACCAGAGCGTTGCTCATTAACATACGTTTTGTTACAGAATTCACGTTTGATCATGGTTATCACCACTGGATTTTGATCAGGGTAAAGGAGCACAGCTCTGTTAATGTCCAGAATGAGGGGGATTCCAATCGGAACAAGAAACGGCCATTGTCCAAAACAGGAGAGTTATACAGCCTCCTTTCAGACCGGACCAGCGCACAGTAAAGAGAAAAAAAGATATACAAGTACGATTTGGAATTCAAGTTTAAGATGTGATGATAGACCAACAGTGTTAGTTTTCAGAGAATATAGCTGTCTCTCATCTGAGGTGTCTGACTAGACAGTGAAACCTGTACGGAGGAGGGTTTTTAACATTTTCCATGTAGTGTACCAAAAACCGGAACAATTTCTGTTACATGACTGGCTCTCTCCCATCACCTAATGCTGTGATCATGTAATCTCAGGACAGGAGTAATTCTTGTCAGTGTTATTTTCAAAATCATAGATGTGCTGGTGATGATCGGAAGCTCTCGTAGTCTGCTACAGTGACATTCCTCTTTTGGCAATGACAGTCTTCAATCTATTATAAATCCTTTCTCTCAAAGCAAGAACATTTTTTAAAGATATTTAAGATTTTTTAAATTGCTAAACGCTCAACTGTCATAATCACACTTCCAGAATTTAAATTTTTTTTTAAGTCAAATTTTGAAAATTCCTATTCTTTTTTTACATTTACATTTCCAGTGGTTTTCTTATCAAATGTTTAAAATAGAATTGATTGGAAAATAGAACTTTACCTTGCTTGTGTGAATTGATCAACTTGGACAAGTGTGAAAGGAAAGCCAAATTAAATGGGAACCTTCAGATCTTATTAATCTTTCATTGAGAGTTGACAAAGAGACACAATTATATAAAGCAAATAGAACTATATTGACACTATTAGGCAGTACAGAAAAGGATACCCAAGTACTGCAGGTGAGACAAACAACCAAACACAATACAAACAAAAGCTGATAACATAACATTAACACACAAAAGTCTAACACCAGGTTTATTGACAGCTGCCAGGACGGTCCAGTTGAAAGTCGACTGACCTCAGCACCTCCTCATCACATTCAAACCTCTGCCTGGGATTTTGCTTCATCTTGGCTCAACTTCTGGGGTCAATAGCTAAACAGGAGTATACTATACCACACGACCGAACAAATGTCAGTTTTTCAGAATGGACCCATTCCCCTTAATTTCAATGGCTAGTGGATAACAGAAGAGAACACGTTTTTATTTAAAAAAAAAAAAAAAAACAGAAAAGACCAAAATGAAATACCCGAAACAGTTTTCACATTTTATTCATTTCAAGAACAAAAGACAACAATGAAATCTGACTTGTCGAAGAAGGGGACTTCTTCGGGGATAAACACACCCAGAGTATGATGACTTGACCATACCTCTTCCTGAATCTGTTTTGCCCACAAGCTAACACAGATTACACTATTAAACCTTTCTTTATTTAGAGGCTGTTTTCTCTCATTGTTTGGTATTGTGAAAGCTGTCTTGGCAAACCTCAGAGATACTCTTTAAAAAAAATCTCAAAGAAGAGAATGTACTTTAATGTCCCCAGAGGTTTAATTATGGATGCACTAAGTCAACGCCCCTTTGAAACGCTTCAGTCGCCTTGGTACATATGCAATTGTCCTCTCGCCCATTGTGTAACTGGTTGTTGTTTCCAACTGTCTTCTTGAAGGAAGTTTAATGCTGGTACTGATTTAAAGAAATCCTGCCACAGTCATACATCAATCGCTTGTGCCTTTCATATCTTTGCTTTGTAGAGATGGAAGCCCTCTTTGAAAGTCTCCATTTCCACCATGATGTCTCTATGCACCGTCAGACTACTGGGCTACAACCTCCATGGCAGAAGATGCTTACATCCCTCTGTTATTCTTTCATAGCAACTGCCAAAGGCTTGCAGTAGAGAGGAGAGTGATTAACAGAGGTTGCTAAGCCGGATTCCCGTCCAGCGATGTGTACAAGAGTACAAACAAGTTTGCAAGGCTGAGGAACTCCGTAGTTCAAACAAGCCGATTACCTACGTACTGAGAATAGTACTGTAAAGT